CCCCCCCCCCCCCCAAGTAATTTGCATTTCTGATAGGAATTCCTAGGGGACTGGAGCAATGCCAAGAAGATTTCATTACTGCAATGGAAATGTCACTCCCTGCCCAGCCTCCTGCTACAATGAGGTAGCTGGGAGGAGACACTGACAAAGCCATCCATTCGAGTGCTTGTGGGAAGTCTAGTTGCACCTGGGAACAGGAAATCGCCGGGATCGCTGCAGCTCTTGGGCTGAGAGGTTCTGTGCTGGTGCATGCTAAAAGCTTCACGCACACTTGCTGTCACTGCTGCCTCTCCCCCAGGTATCCATCCAGCTACATGGTGTGTTTCTGCACTTGCACTCTCCAGAAGGTAGCTACTTTTGCAGAACTTAGTTGTCTCATGAGAATAAAATAAAGGTCATTAGAATAATGACATGTTTCTATGGTGTTTTCCTTCTAGGGATTTCTTCCAGCCCTACAATTATAGAAGCTTACGCTACACTGGTCCCATGGGCTCAGGAAGTGCTCCAGTTGTAGCATAGCACAGGCCAGATTCAGGGCTGGTGTAAGAGAGCGAAGCTTTGCTGGAAGCAGTAGACCAAGGGGGATTTTCCCCATCAAGGGATCTGACTTCAGCTGTTATGAGAAGGGCTTTGTATTAACAGTGATAGGCAGGAAGAGCCATATGAAAATTGGACTGAAATTCTGCACACGCTGCCGGTTGAAATGCAAACTGCAGTGGGAAAACTTACAGAGGAGTGCAGTATCACCATGCAGAAAGCAAAGCAACTGGTGAATCTTAAATGTTTTTAGGAACTGGAGACAAATAAACTCTCTTGGCCTCTTGTGCCACTCAATCAGCAGCACGGCTTTATTCTTCAGGCTGTAACATCAGTGACAGTGCTCACTGTTCACACACATAAGACACAGCTGTTGGCTCTCTGGATTACATTCTTTCCTTACTTCTGCTGCAATAGTGTTTTGCCACATCTCACCAGATGTGCTGGGAAGTGTAGGTATATTCCAGAAAATGCCTGAATACATATTATTATTATACAATAATCCAGAGGTGAATGCCCAGTGCTGGGAGACTTCTGAAGATAAAGAAAAAGAGAAGAAAGGACAAAAGGGAGGGAGTGGAAAGTGAGAAGGCAGAAGGAAGAAAAGTATTTGCTGGACTTCCTCACCTTCCTCTACTGTTCAACTTCTTCTAACTACTGAGACCCAACAGGACATCTGGAAGAGGTTATCCCAGTGAGAAAGCAAACCCACCCCCCCATTTCCACATGAGAAGCCATAGCCCTAAAAGTTCAACAAAAGCTGCTGGCACATGCCACTGCTCCACTGTCAGAGTAGTCAGTCTGCAACTGGATAGAAAATCCCTGTGTTTTGTACAAGGTGTTTTCTATAGAGCTGCCTGGTTTGCACTGGGATTCAAGAAGTTGTCTGCTCCATCCTTTGAGGTGGGATTCAAAAAGCAGCATTAATCCCTCCATTGCTAGGGGACAGATCCCTCATCCTGCATTGGGAGCCATGGCAATGGCAAGAACAAGGATGAAGTGGCATTCAAGGGTTGCAGGAGTACAGGAGTAGCTCTGCTCCACAGTGTAGTAGACCCAGGATGGCTATTCAAGTGCTTCCTGAATGGGAGATCTGTTGAAGCCAGCATATTTAGTCCCAGACTAAAACAAGATCTGCTCCCAACTTTTTGGTCACCACCAAAGGCTACAGCAAGTGACAGGAGGAAGCCTCATGCGTGTGAGGGCTTTTGCAGCTTAGGGCTGGCTTCTCAAATTAATGCCCCAAAACTGACCCAGAATACAGTGACTGAGGAAGCACAAACCCTGAGGACTTTCCAAAATTTGCCAAGGACACAGCTTGAGAGTTCCTGGATAGGGCAATGGCTTTTCAGGTCACTGAAAAGGACTAAACTGAGAATAAACTGTCTCCATTCTCTGCCCAGCCCATCATAATGGATTGTTCATGTCAGATAATAACAGTGTTTAACGTGGCCACTTCTGAGGACCCAAATATAACGCTCCATCTTGGCATACACGTGGGACAGAACTGGCCAACCCCACACCTCGGGTATGGTATTTAAAGCCACGTGTGGCTGCAGAAGCAACAGCAGCTCACAAGAAGGCTGAAACTCATCCTGCCTGTGTCTGGGCTAAGCTTACCATAACTGAGTTATGCTGCTCATTTGGGAATTCTCTTAGATACAGCTGAACTCTGTTCTCTTTGAATTTATATTATTCTACCATCTCTTCCCTTCTCTTTTCTTGTCTTCCTCTCAACCACCTTCAGAAACCAACTGTGTTGAAATATTTCAGCCTCTCTGTTTCAGCCTTGTCCAGCTCTTACATCTTTCATATGTGCTGGTTTTAACTTTCCATGTGAATACAGAGCAGGACAGGGAACTCTATTAAAGACTTGCATTTACTTTGTCTTCAGAATACCAGGATATCAGGTATGAGTCTGAGCTTCGAGTTCTGGCCTGATCCTTTCCTAGTTCCCAAGCTTTCCCAGCTCTGCCTGGGTGTGGCAGGTGGCATGATGTAGACGAGGGAAACTAGGATTGGGTCACATTGGTGGATTTAAATTTGGATTTTTCTCTGAGTTTCAAGGTTATCCAGTTTGGCCCCAGCTCAATCATAATCATCATCCCAAGCCCAAACATTGTTCCTCCACATGTCTGGGATGGTTATTTTTTTAGAGGTGATAAACTAACACATCATATGTGTTATCTGTCTTTTGTGATAAATGCCAAGCTGTCAGAATGAAAATGTCACATAAATCACACATGAAGTATTTACATTAAAAAAGATCAACTCATAAGAATTTTAAAAACATTTCTGATGGTGCCATCATTTGCAGCAGGTTAACCAGTTATTGCCAATGTTTCCATTTCTGGAGTTGAAATAAACATGGCACAACAAAACAGAGTCATCAAACAAAACCAGAATGTATTTAACATGGTGCAACAGTCAATGCCATAAGAAATCACCATATAAGTATGCAGAGTTACATATAATCTACACATATCAATATGACTTTACAAATTTCATATTACATGTTGATACACACAAAATGGACTTGGGAGGAAGCACTTGTTGCCAGCCCCTCTGAGGGCTCAGTTTCTTACCTACTTGTAAGGTAGGGTGAGACAACACTGGTTTTGAAAGTGACTGTATGTATTGCGATCGTATTGCATTCTCCTGTGAGTCAGAGTGGATAACAATCTCCACCAGCCACGTGACAAAAGGGTATGGAGCTTGCTGAGCATACAACCATCCCTTGTGGGAGGGAGGTTTGGCAGGTGAGAGGTCCCTGGTGGGTTCTCAGTGTGGCCACAAGGTTTTTGGACCAGCCCCGGCTCTCAGAGGGGTCAGGCCAGGGGGGCAGAGCCCACAGCCCAGAGTGTAGTGGCACGCTCTGTCAGGACCAGACACCTTCTGGATTTGGAGAGGCTGGCACTAATTCTGGAAGGTGCTACGCCTGCTCCAGGGGAAGCCTTGCAGGAAGAGCCTGGAGCCCCAGCAGGAGTGGCCAGTGGGGCTGGCTCCCAGCTGTGCTCTCTGCCTGGGGCTGGGGTGGCACCACATCTTGCCTGGGAAGGTGAAGTGGGCTACAGACCAAAAGCCCTCCTCAGGGCACACAGAAAGCTGAAAGGTAATGTAGGCAGTCCTACAACTGTTGTAATAGACACTGTGGGTGGAAGAGCTTCCTAACAGCTCCAGACTCTCTGTGGGAGGTAATACCATATTTACCTTTCCCTCTCCAGCCCCTCTCCCCTTGTCAAGCCTGTGCTGCCGCACTCAAGTCGAAGGAATGAAGCAACCACAAACCAGGCCTACTGTCCTAAAAATAGTGGCATTAACAGGGCACTAATCTACATTATGGCTCTCGATGATTGCTATCAGGGGTGGAGCTGGACAAGGTAAACTACAGCTGGAAATGCAGCAGCGTCTCTGCTGCAGACCAGGCAGGGCAGTGTGAGTAAAGGGCATTTTGCTATATTGGTGTACATCACTGCTCCTCAAAGAAAGTCCTCAGCATTTCTCAAGGGCTTCATTTGTGGCTGTGTGAGCAGTCAGTGACATTTGTGCCATGAAAACCTTACTTTTGCCCAATGGAAGATAATTACACCCCAAAAGATATCCTCACTGGCAAAACCCCAGAAAAACGGTAAAGCAGAAGCGAGAGAACTGAAAAAAAGGGAAGATGAGGGTAAAGCGAGAGGAGAAGAACATGAACAAAGGAGAGAAGGAATGACAAATGAAGAGGAAAAAAAAGGGGAAAATAAAATTTTAAAAAAAGCACCTCGTTTGGAGTTTGCAGGAGGTGACTCAGCACCTGCAGATCTGAATTCTCCTTCTGACTTGACTCTGGCTGGCTGTGTGCCTTGTGCCTTGCTCTATCTAAGGTTCTTACCTTGCAAAGCATCCAGGAGGGCAAATGTACTGGCAAAGCACAAGCATTTAAAATCCTCCAGCAGCCACAACAACCAAATGCTGTGACTGAAATGCAAAAAAAAAGAATGAGGGTGGGATGGGAGGAGAGGCAGGGAATCAAGGAGCAGAGGAAGGGTGAGGAGTGAAAGAGTGAGAGGAATGGGGAATGAAAAAATTGGGAGACCAGGTGGAGGGGGAGAAAATCTTGGAAATGAGGTTAGGTGTTGGTCAGAGTCTCTATGTCCTCTTGCAATAGCAGGGGGAAGAGCTGAAACTCATCCTGCTGACCTGCTGTAGAGACTGACACTTGCAGGCTCCCCATGGGTGTCACCTCTGCAATCCCTGTCCCAGAGCAGAGGAGCCAAACAACCCTGGAGGCCTGTCACAGAGAGGTTTCTAGGCAGGAGGAACGCCTAACGTAGAAATGCCGCCTGTCCTGCCCCTCCGGCCTGTGCACGATCAGGACGGGGAAGAATCGGGCGTCGTGGTAGGTGGGGGGGTTCTCGTTGACAGCCAGCTGGCTGGAGTAGGAGCAGCACTGCTCATCCTGGCAGCCCCGCTCTGCAATGCTGCTGCTGCGGCTCCTCCAGAGGCCTGTCCTGTGGGAGCCATGGATGCGGCAGAGGGAGAAGCGGCTGGTGTTGAGGGAGAGGCGGGAGTTGCCGCTGCAGCTGTGGAAAGCGTGGCGTGAGAAGATGGAGGAGGTGCTGGAGGCGCGGTTGCAGCGTTCACAGCCGTGGGCCGTTTCGCCGTAGCGACACACCGTGTAGCTGTTGTAGGCCGGGGAGCTGGCCAGGTCCATGAGCATGGCCTCCGAGTAGCTGGGGATCAGCTGCCGGTTGGTGCAGATGTGCCACTCCAGCTCGGTGCTGTCCTGCGTGCTGTCCCGGGGCATGCGGTACCGGTACAAGGGCTCCTCCGCCGTCGTGGGCGCCGTGTACTCCAGGCCCAGCAGCTTCTCCACGTGGTAATGGACATAGGCAGTCCGGTACTCTATGAGTACCCTGAGTGGCCACGAGATCATCAGGATGGCTGCCACCCAGAAAGCATAATGGGACACGTACCACGGGAGGTGATCCGGGTCTCCGTAGGCCATCATAAGCTCTTTAAAATCCACATTTTTGAGCTGCATGCCTTCCCTCACCTCCATGTAGTCATCTAGCCCCTCGATCTCCGTGAAGAAATGAGCTCTCTGAGTCAGGTAAGAGTTCTCAGACTCAATGTTGGCAAAGCTGAAGCACTTGGTGAACCTCAGCTTGGTGGCTGTATAGCTCTCCAAGCCCAGGAGCTCTTTGGAGATGTCCTTGTATCCACAGTGAGAGTAGTCAAACTCAGCTTCAGCCACGTGTGTGTTGACCCTCTCATGGTAGACCTGTGTGGTGGTGTAGGCATCACCGTTGCGGTACCGGGTCACCTGCCGGGTTCGCCGTACGAAGTGGTAGCTGATGGCCTTCCACCAGATGCACGGAGTGGCTTGCTGCATGCGGTTGATGCACTCATACACACTGTCCACGTCTGCCTTGTACTGCAGCTCCCTCTTGACGTGGCAGTGCCAGCACTCCACCAGGTACACTACGTACAGCATGGAGAGGAAGGCCAGCGGGATATAAACGTAGCCGTCCGAGCACGGGCTGTCATGGTAGATCATTGACTTGCCCTTGAAGGAGCTATCGAAGCTGAGCTTGGTGACTCTGGCCAGCTGACACCAGGCCACTGCACCCAGGCAGCCATACATGAGGATGGAGAGGAGGAGGCATTTCCAGTGGGACTCTCGGCACATGCAAGCACTCAGGGACTGTTTCACGGGGCGTTGCTTCAATCACACCGTGCAAGGGGAGAGAAAGACAAAGAGAGAGCGAGGAACCCGTCAGTCACGCTGCTTTGCACAACGCACACAGTGGCTGCTTGCCATCAAGGCTGTGTCTGGCTTTTCTCTTGACTGCCTGAGAACTGGGACACCACCCTACTTAATAAAAATGTCAATATAAACAGAAACACCCTGCCAGGGACAGAGGGCTCTTTCCTTGCTTCCTTCTGGCTCTGGGGAGGGAAGTTGTTTGTGCAGCAGTGACACGCTGTGCCTGCACCCTGGTCAGATGGGCACCTCTGCAGGGAGCAAGACAGGTCCCCATCTCCTTCTCCCTGCCTGCTGCCAGCATCATTTACACACCCTGCCATCTTCAAAGGTCAAGAGTGCTGAGCACGTGAACAGCCAAAAGCGTGGGGCTGTGGAATTGCCCCTTTGCTTTGCAAGTGCCCCATGCTTAAGTTCCCACATGCTGCTGTTGGGGAGGCTCAGGAGCAGTGTCTGTCGCAGAGCTGTGGCCCCACAGGTTGTGCCAGCACAGGAGGGCCAGCACTTCACGAAGCTAAAGCTGCTGCCTGACTCAGAGCTGACTCACATCCAACCCTGAAATCTACCAAATGATCGACACCATTTTCTTGGAGATGAGCCATCAGGAAAATGACTAGATTCAAGCACATTTCGTTGAAAAAATTGTCAAGATTACAGCACGATGCAGCATTGCTTCAGGCTGGTTACACCAGCTCTGACCTAAAATACTTGCAAGCTTCAGTGTTGAAGCTAAGGGTGTATGCGTGAATATTTAAAACAGCACACCCCCCTCTTTCAAGTCCCAAAAGTCAGGCTGGGAGCAGAGCTGGGTTCACACTCCTGTACTCCCACTTCGCCCCCTGAGAGGGCACAATTGCAGTCCTTACCCCAGCCCTGGTGCAGTGAATCAGCTGCATTGTCATGCGATGTTCAGCTATAAAGAAAAATGCCAAATGGAGCCAAGCAGCTCCAACAGAGTCGTGTCCCTGCAAAGAGCAGTGGCAGCATGAGTTACACCACTGGCAGGCAGCTGTCTGTCTGTAGAGAGTGCATGAAGAAAGATGCCCACTGCCCTAGTAGGTAATGAGGAGGGCTGCTCACATCCCTTTGGTTACTGCCATTCTCTGCCTCTCTCCTAACTGAGGAAATGACAGTGAGAAAGCAGATACACACTGATACTCATGCATCATCATGCCCTCTGCCGAGCCTGATTTCATGCAAAAATAGAAGCACACTGTTATTCCTTCTCCCAAGGGCCCACCTCTAATGCATCAAACTGCTCTGTAGATGCCAACAGACACTAGGTTCAGGAAATGTCTTCTCTTTCTTTCTCCACAGATAAATTTCTGCCACAGTAAAGCTTATCTTGGACATACAGTGGTTAGGACTGAAGTGATCTTGAACCAGCAAGGAATTTAAGAAGCAGCATCTTGTAACTAAGGAAATAATAGGATGGCGCCACTGGAAAGAGGAGTTTGCTGTCTTCTCAATAAGATGGAAATATTGGCATCTAACTTTGTAGGGCTGTAGGGTCAGATTTAATACTGCTTTGCTTTTTTTTTCCTGAGACAGATAACCACTTCTAAGAAACCACAGAGGGTTTTATGACTTGCTGTGAACACTGCAAAACTAAATTTCATGGGGTTTGGTTTTGATTTCATTTTTGTTTTAATCTGACACTGGGTAAGTGCAGAGTAATTTTACTGATTTTAAGAAGTTACACCAGTATACACTTGCAGGGACTTAGGGCAGAATCTGGCCCTTGATTCTTTCTTATGCATCCAGAAGGAATCTGTAAAAAAATTTATATTCTTATCCCAACAATTTTATACATGTGTCAGTATAAAGAATAACTATTCTGGACTGTATTCTGGCTTCTGTATTCTCTTTACAGCAAATGTAGAGAAGCTAAGTGGGTTATAAAGTACAGAGTACATAACTTCTGTAGGTAGGGCAGTGAAAAAAAACTCAGTACAGGTAAGAATAAGGCTGTTTTTCTTAGCCTTTTGCATGAAACTTAGAGGAAAGCCACAAGGTAGCTTCAGGCAGTCCCTAAATCAGCTAAAAAATAACTAGAGAAATTTTGGTAGTGAATCCCCTACGCACAGCCCATGTGCAGTCACGGAGAGTTTCAGCTCTTGAAACTCTTGTCAAATGCCCACTGCTCAGTCTCAGTGTGGTTACTGCCTCAACGTAGGCTTCTGCCCCCGCTGTACACTGGACCAGGTCAGAGCCCCAGGCTCTCCTGACTCATGGGAAACCCACTGGAAATTACTAACTTCTATTCTTTGTCTCTTCTTAACACAAAACTAGAGTTTTAAACTTCTATAGTAATGCAAAAATATAAAGTGTAATGAAGCTGTATCCTTTTTTATCTCCCCTGAAGGTTTTCTGAGGTGAAGAAAACTTTAACCATTAACATCTCTCTACTTCAGGCCCTGACACTGTGCAGAAGGAACAGCAGGACAATATCCCAACACATGAATTTGTGTTCTCATTCAGGCTTCTGCAGCTACCTCTCATTTAAAATCACTTATGGTTCACAGAGTGAACAGTGCCAGTGGACCCACCAAAAAATGCCCAGCAGTCAGTTTTAATGTGAGTGCTTAAATAGTCCATGCAGCTCCAGGAACCCCATTTTCTTCTATGACTTGTTGGAAGCACTGTCAGCCTGGCCCTGGGCACAGGTGACAAGGCTGTCCCATGCCAGTCAGGGCACTATTTGCCAAAGGCACTGCAATCCCACCTTCCCTTTATCTCACTTGCTTTGACTAACAACTTCTCTGTGGTCCAACCTACAACCCACAGGCTGGCTTCTGCCCAAGGGGTGGTTGAACCAGCCCTGCTGCTTAGGGCTATCAGAGGCCATATCAGAGTGGGCAAATGCCTCCTAATGTGCTCATCTCCATGAAATGCCATCTCCCCTTTGGGGGATGAGATAGCTCTTGTTCCACCAGTCCTAGAGCAGCACCCGGCTGGGTTGGCAGTAGCTCAGAGGTTTGCGGGTCCAAGATGACATTTCTGTATGCATTCTCTGGAGGCACTTCAAAAATGGTCTTCAACCCACTGGAAGAGCTAGATCAGCCCAAGACAGATTTTCTCCACTATTCTCACAGCAGCCTGCAAAAAAGGCAGCTTCTCTCCTCCTTGCACTAGTGAAGACAAGCAGCCATAGAGCTCACTGCCACATCTGATTCACACACCTACCAGTCCAGTTCAGCAGGGCCTTCATGTTCAAAACCCTTCAGTAAAAAACACAAGTTCTTTCACCTGGCTTTTCTGACCCACTGTATCACTCCTGCTGTTGTTCCTAAGCAAAGCCCAGTCTCTGCAGGTCCTCTGTTATAAAAGGATCCCTCTTCCAGGGTCTATCTCCACAGCTGTCCTGCCTGTTTCAAGTTCTGACCATGTTCATCTGGCCTATAACCCCCTATTTCTCCTTCTCTGAACTGATTATCTAACACAATTATACTATTAGAAACACTATTAGAATGTTAGTAAGAAAGATATTAAATAGAACATAACTACAATAAAGGTTCAGACACTCCAAAATCTCATAGGGAAATATATCTTTTCATCTCTCTCTGCACAACAGATTCATTAATATGTTAAAACAGTGGCTCTCAGACTTTATTAATTAACATACCACCTTCTTAAAAGAATTATGTTTGTGGTACTGTGTGGAATTTTCTCCTTTCCGTGCATAATGTTTCAGATTGAAACAGGGCAAGCTTGTATTTCTGGATGACTACAATAAATGCTTAAGGAAACTAATAATTTCCATGATAACTTGGGCTAGCCATTGAACAAGAGTTGCATTCTTTGAGGAATGCTGTGGCATCTGTGTTGTTTTCATGTGGAATAAAAGCATAACCCCTGGAAAATCTTGATAGAGAAACATAACTGAAAGAAATAAATGAAGAAAGAAAAGACAGAGAGCCTGACAGAAAGCCAGAGCCAAACAGAGAGTAGAATAGATGGAAGCTTAGTTGTCAGGCACTTTGTCTGCAAGCTAGAACTAAAGGGCTTGGTTCTCTAACCCAAACCAAGAGAGATGTCCTCCCTTTCCTGCTTGTGGGGGGCTTTGCTTTGGGCTTTGCTTCCAGCATTGACCAGGGAAACACCCTGACAGATTAAATGAGGCACAAGTTGCCCAGAGAAGTTGTGGATGTCCCATCACTGGAAGTGTTCAAGGCCAGGTCGGACAGGCTTTGAGCAACCTGGTCTAGTGCAACATGTCCCTGCCCATGGAAGGGGGCTGGAATGACAGGAGCTTTGAAGGTCACTTCCAACACAAACTGTTCTGTGATTCTACAACCACATATTGTGAAGGGGAATGCATTTGTCAAATCAAATGTTTCATCCAAAAGGTCCCAACCAACTCTGATGACAGTACAAATGGTAAAAATCCTGGTTTTGAATGGAATGCCATGAAGCAGCACAGCTGAGCTGTCAGTATCACTGTTTATGAATTTCAAGCTGTGTTAAATACACATGCTGTTAATAACATCTTGCTAGTCTCTGGCATGCTGCTGAACTGCTTTCAGAGGCCTCCCTTCTCATTGCACCTGACTGGATTGGAAACTCTGGTAACTCTTACCGAAACTATCCACAATCACATGCCGAAATTCACTTAACTCTTCCACACTTAGAAACAGTAACCAAAAAATATTTTCCAAATTCTTTAGTAGATGTCAGCATGAATGAGGAAAATGCCATGAGTGAGAGGTGACATGAGTGGGGAAGGCTGTGGGTGTCTGTGTTGTGAACCCTGTGGAGAGTGACAAGGTTTAGGGACAGCCTGCCCTGAGCTGTCCCTAGCCCCACAGCACTTCTCTGTGCTTGATTTTTCTGGCTCATTTCCAGAAAGCTCAGACAGAGCAAAGGCTGTGTACCACTCAGTCAGCTCCATATGGTTTGTTTGCTCTCTGGTGGTGTGGAGCACTCTGAGACGCTAAAATGATAGATGCTAT